ATTAATGGAAATAGTGATAACTATTAACATTCTTTTTTCATTCCAATCACCAAGTAAAATTCATTCTACTCAATAAGGCAGTATTTCTACGTGGAGGATTTCATGAGAGTGTTATGCAATTTTTTTTGAAAATTTTACTTAATAATATTTCCAACCAGATTATTGTTTGTCTCTACAGGGGAATGTTATGGTGAAATTAACCATGGATTTGCATTTAACCTTGTCCATGTGTTTGCATTAACCTTGTCCAAATCTGTTTTGCCATTAACTACAATATAAGTGTTTCTGTTTTAACTCTGTATAAAAACACAACAATTTAAGGAAACACGCATATGAAACAAAATATTTCATCAATATACAATCATTAATATAAAGAAAAATGTGTATGCAAAGTGATGAATTAACTCCCCTTTACTTATATAATAAATATAAAATTGGCCTCTAACTCCCAAGATCTTTTGGTATAACCGTCTTAACAAAACATTACTCTCACCCTGACTGGGTAGCTCAGTTGATTAGAGTGTAATCCAGATATGCCAAGGTTGTGGGTCAAGGCTGTGGGTTCGATTCCTGGTCAGGGCACATAGAAGAAGCAACGAATCAATATATGAATAAGTGAAACAGCAAGTCAATGTCTCTCTCTCTCTTTCTCTTTCTTTTAAAACCAATAAATAAATTTTAAAAATAGAAAAATAGAGCCATACTAGCCATTTCAGATGAACTGCTTTGCATAGCTTTTACTTTATGAAACAAATCAAACCACCAACATTACAGGAAGAAAGAAGGATAGTATCCCATTTGTAAGGACTAATGAAAGGACTTTGCTGATCATCAAATCATTATGCAGTCAATTAAGTAGAAATCTAGTCTTTTGCGTGATGACCAAATCGCAAATCAATCTATGCAGCACAGATCTAATCTTACCTCAAATGGCATCAATGAACTCTTTTTAAAATATAACATACCTCATCTTTTTCCTGTTTTAGATTAAAACCCTGAGCCCCTTTCCCACACGATGGATGGGGTGGGGGGATTTTTGAGCTTCTGCCTGAATGTGCACTTCCTTAATTGCAATTCCTTTGTTCCTAAATAAGTCTTTTTTTTATTACTACCTTCTAAATTTTCAGGTTAACAGCCACAAAACCTTTATCCATTTATCTATCTGTGGACACTTAGGTTGTTTCTATGTCTTGGCTATTATAAGTAATGCTGCTGTTGGTATGAGGATCCAAATATCTTTTGAGTTAATGTTTGTTTCCTTTATATTCATAGCAGTGGAAGTGTTATCACATGGTAATGCTGCTTTTAAATTTTTGAGGATCTTCCATACTATTTCATAGTAGGTGTATCAGTTCACACCTGCAGTGCCCAAGTAGAAATCTCTGTCAGTGGTGTGACTCATCTACAAAACCAAGTGGGGATTGCACTCAGACCAGGTAGCATGGCAGGGTGCAAATTTTTCTGATTTGTATCTTCAAATGAGGAGTTTTGCAGGTCCTAGAGCCTAGTTTGCCTAGGTCTGGGCAAGGAAATGGATTGATCATAGGCTACCTGCTACAGAGTGTGTATTCCAGCTCCATCGGACCTGAAGGGCTGGCTAAAACCCTACAAGCAGGGAGACCCAGTGGTGCTAGAACAGCAAGCTGGACAGAGTAAAGCCAGTGCTAGAGTGAGCATTGCATGCTATTTATCCACAGGAAGGGAATTAATTTCATAGCCAAAGCTGAGAGTAGGTCTTGGCCCCTCTCAACCAGAGAGCCTGTTGTACACTGAGGGTCAATGTAATTGACAATAGTTTACAATAGACCTAAACAGTGTATCAAGCCTGACTTATTAACAAGGTTTCTTGAACAGATCTTGATGGTCAAATTAAAGACAGTGCAGTATGTACTACAAATAAAAATCTGTGAGGTACATACACATGGGATGTACCATGGGCCTGCGATGCTCACCTGTTTTCTCTTTTGCTGGCCATAATCTTTCCCTTAAATAACTGCCATGATGAATGTATTGTGTAAAGTCTGGAGAGTCATTTCAAGTACCTGGCCTAGGGGAAATTTTGCACCATTCAATTCCTTTTGTCCAGCTAAATAAATCTCTATCAATTTGTACCACTTTCTGAAGAGTGTGCTTTTTTCTTTTTTTCATTGTCTTTCTTTTTCTTATTTGTTGGAATACAATTTCTTACACCTATACAGCTCTTCATCTGGTATACATTTCTTTGTGGGGTGGGGGTATGTATACAGAAATTTCTGCTGATCTTTCTGGGAACAAGCATAGTCCCAATTCAGATACCTGGTCTCATTAAAACAAACAAACAAACAAACAAACAAACAACAAACACCTAAATGAGATACATCAGTTTAACAGAGAGCTGCTTTTTCTAGAAGTTATTTGTTTTGTTTTTTTTTCTAGTTTGCAGGTGATTTGTCTTCACACCGCCGAACTTCTCCAATCACACAACCTCAATAAACAGTGGGTAGAGTAAGGGTACACCTTTTGGGAAAAGCTAACTCCTTACAATTTACCCAAGTATCTTCACAGACACAAAAAAGAAAAGGATCCTTGAAAGAGCCTTCCGCCTTCTATTGGCCCTTCATCTTGTCTTCTACCACAAAATTTCAAAAGAATGAGAGGAACATTTCTTTTAACTCTTAAGTTCTGTCCTTCAGTAACTGGGCAAGTTTCAGCGACATGTACAGATACAGGAAACACTGGTTGTTTGTTTGACAAGTGCAGGATTGCAGATAAAGACTTTCAACTGAGGCATATTGTATGTGAGTTTTTAATAGGATATTAAAGAGAAAGTAATAAGTATTCAGATAAATATTTAAATTACCTAAGAAGAGTTATTATTCAATAGGAACTTATCAAGAACACTGTATTTTTTAGTTTATCAGTAGTGCAATATTAAATCAGATATCAAACATAAGTTTTTATTTTTATTGAATTTAGTGGGGTGACATTGCTTAATAACTATATAGATTTCATGTACAATTCTATAACACAACATCTGTATATTGTATTGTGTGTTCTCCACCCAAGGTCAAGTCTCCTTCATCACCATTTATCCCCTTTACCCTCTTACAAGTCCCCCCACCTCCCCTTTCCCTCTGGCAATCACCACACCGTAGGTTGTCAAATGTACTTTTTACAAAGAAAATTTTCACTAACGTGAAATTAAGCAATACATTATTTTTCATTATTATTATTTTGGTTTGGATCAATCATCCCTACATAACATAAACACCAAGTAAAGCACTATCCTTCTAGGTAAAATCAATGGTTTTTCCTCCCACTTACTCCATTATCAGTGAGAATTAGAAATGAAAGTAATAATGGAAATAACCCTTTTTGACTTGGAACATTTTCTTCAAAAAGACAAACAAAAGCTGCTCAATATGGTGTCCTCTTTAAATAATTATTCTTTGTAACTTATTCTCTTGTGTTGAAGTATTTTGATTTTGGTTGCTTCTCCCATTCAACAGGTATAGAAAATTGGACCTGGGTCAACTTTTCTAATCTAGCAGGTGAAGCAAGGATGGTGTATGAGTGCCAACTGGAAAGTGAACAAAAAACTGAAGGGGGCCAAGCATGTGAAGATGTATAGATCTTGTGTTATAACCTTATAGAGAGAGAGACTGAGAGAGAGAGTGTCCAGCACAAATAATGCCTCTGTTTTAGTACAGAAAAATCTTCTATTAAAAACACATAAGCATTTAATTCTGTAACATAACAATATCACACTCAAGCACAGAATATGACATTTTGAGTGAAATGTTCAACTTTCTGTCCATTTCATGTGAGACATTCATGTACCCTACCAGCCACATTCAATGGCATCACTTCTGCCTAACCCTGTATAACACAAAGGAGTAGATTATAAAATTGGGCACACAAGAATCAGATACCTTACTCAGAATCAAACTCTGCCACTGTATTAAGTTTTAAAAGTGATTCGAGAGAGACATGACTTGAGGTTGTAAACACACAGGGAGAGCATTTTAGATTGTATCATTCTGTGTCCAAATAGGAGGAAAAAAATACACATAGTCGTTTGAACAGTGTAAGTTTTATATAAAGAATCATTACTATAACAAGTGATTATGTTAAGGAGATATTAGTAAGTAAAGAGAAATAAAAATGTAGAAATAACAGATTTAAGAAGCAGTCACTAACCCTATGCCTAAGATAGCTTACATAATGAAGAACCTTATTTCTCAGAAATGAGATTCCCACTCTGTTGGAGAGGATACACCATGGCTTAGTGGACAACAGAAGTTTTGTGATGCCATGCCAACAGAACTTGCTGGGAATATGCCCTCTGGCACTTGCTAGAAAACGACCTTGGTACTTGGTACTGGGTGAAGCTGTTCATTTCAGAGTTCTGCTGGGCACTGTTTTCTGTGGAAGAGGCCATGGCGGAGAGGCTCTGGGGCAACTGGTTGCCTGTTGAGTGCTGTTGACTGCCCTGCCCTGCCCTGCGCAAGCTGAGCACTGGGAGAGTCACTCTTTTACAAAACCATCAGGAAATAGGAGGTGACAAAGGAAGCCGCTGGCTGTCAGATACTGCCGCCTGCCCTTGTTCTGGGAGAATTAGGCACTAGAAAAGCTGTGGACACTACAGGAGCCTGCAAAGCCAGTGTACCAAATATAGAAGACAAAAACTCTCTGGCAGTGTTCTCTACTGGCAAAACTTGGTGCCAGCTGGCATAGGAAAAGCAAATATTTGAAAGGACCCAGATCCATTTTCACAGAATAGTTTAAAAGTAAAACTGTAGCTAAGAGGCAATACAGTTATAATAGCATGATAAGGAAATACAAATACTTTCACACTGGTAATTGCATATCTAAAATGTTCCAGAGTACCATACCACACAAATCCATAAGTTCCAAGTGTGTTTGTCATAAGCAGTCTGGACAAATCAGGTATGTCCATCTAAGAACATTCTGTTAAAGCAAACATCTGTTACTAAATGCTATCAAGAGTTCCAGTTTGCATACTTACCTGGCAGGAGAGAGACGGTGATCACAAAGGTGGTTTTCCCAGGGGAGGCTTCTCTATTGCACTCTGGATGTGCTGACCCCTGCAATTTCCCAAAATGTGGGAAACTCAACTGCAAAATTTGTGCTAGTGAGGGCCTGAGTTTGCATTCTCCCCAGTGGGGGGGGAGGGCACAGAATGAGAGATACAGTTTGCATGTTTAGAATATTTGACTAAACTGAACACCATTTTTACCCAGGTATCTTCAAGGAAGGAAATACAGATTACACACAGGCTGCTAACCATTTATTATCAACTGGTTGTTGAGTTTTAGTATTGACCATGACATTTGAGTAACACAGAGAGGTTTTGGTTTGGTCTATAAGTAAGGCTTCTATTATCAAAATTTAGAAACATAGAAAAAATAACCCAGTATAGTATCTGTGGGAGATACATTTAAAATTTCAGAGAACACAAAAACTTATTAATTTTGAATTGCAGAGTAGCTCATGAATCACTTGGGTCAGCTTTTACCACCTAAATGGTGCCAGATAGCAAGTTTAGTATGTCAGATGACACTTAGTAGACTCACCAACTTAATTAGCTTCCAGAATACTTAACTTACTCTTACCAACTGACTTACTAGAAGAATAATTTTTTCGATTATGGGGGATAGTGTGTCCATATTACTAATATTAATAAAACTAATTATGTGACAATTATTTCATAGTTTGGCATTAACTTGTGTGTTCTGAAAACATAACACGCTAAATTAATTCTTCCTGAGAAGTGGGCTGTCGTTTACTGCCTAGAAAAAAAGTAATTCAGTGACTAATACCTGATGCTTTAAGACTTTAATATATTATGAGAATAAACACTATGTCCCCAGAATATTTTGTCACTGTTTATCATGGAATTATTTCTACATTTATAAAAGTGAAACATATACTTACAGCTCTCTGTTTCAGTGTATTACTCCATTATTTCTTATATACATTTTGTTTTTATATTTCACGTGAAAAACTCAGCTTTTTCCTACATTATTCTGCTTTTCGTATTGTTTTGGATAGTTACATTTTAACCTAAGTAATTAAATATATTTTAAAACTCTGAGAATTATCTCTATTAGTACAGAGTATAGGAAAAAATTTAAAAAACATATATAAAGACCTGCTATTATTTTTGTTTTATTGAATTTTATTTGTATTTTTAATTTTTTTCCTTTTTAAAAATTTATTTGTATTTTTTAAAACAGGCATTAAAACCTTGAACTATCCTGCCTATTTCTTTCCTTCCTGCTATTTTATGATTCTCTTAATTTATATTTAAAACATATTTGTAACTAAAATACTATGTGTTAAATTGTTTAGAAAACATAATTTAATTATTTTATCATCACAATATGTATAACCTAATTTTACTATAGTACAGAAAATTCATGTCTTCTAGATATACACAAAAAAACACTTCTATATATGACATTTTTTGTCTGTTTTAAAATTTATTTTAATTGTTGGTCAAGTACAGTTTTCTGTCTTTTACTCCCATCTCAGCCCAGCCCCCAGTGCTCCTCACTATATATGACATTTTTGAAGTTGCAAACTCTCAACTTTCACCTACAGGCCTAAGTATGCTTTAGACCCTTATTCACACTTGACTTTAACTTGGGTCAGTAGTTCAATAACTCAGTATTGGGTAGATCTGAACTTGTACTTTGTAAAAGATGCTTCCAACTTGTACTTTGCAAAGATGTTGCCTCTTTGCCTTTCTGTGTAAAGTTCTCTTATTTGTGACCTAAAAACCTTTGGATAGATTTTTTCCTCTCTTCATATTCAATTTGTGATGAATCCTGAATGTCTTCTAATAAATCTCTGCTTTGGAATTTTTCTTTACTAAAAAAAATAAATTTTACAGCACATCTATACCAGGTATTGTATAGAACACCGAGATACAGATGTAAATTAAAAAGGGTCCTTGCTTTGAAGAAACTCACAAAGTTTGGCAAATAAGTAAACAAACAACTTCAGTGTTATATGATGAATGATATGACATAGACAATGCAGACTAGAAGGAAAAGATATGATCGATCTGGTCGGATATTAAGTTATTAAAATTGAGATTTCTGTGCTGAGATCTTTTTCAATGGGAGACTTTGGATTATACTCAATATATATTTTACCATGGAAATTGATTTCTGACTTATAATAGAATGACTAATGAGCCTGAGTCATACTGGTAGTATTATTCTCTTCTTCTTTCAAAATATTCAACTAAATGTCTTTACAAATCACTATGAGTAACATCCTTTCTTTTTTTCCCCTTTTTAAAAGTTTTTTTTTATTCAATTGTTGTTCAAGTACAGCTTTCTGTCTTTTACTAAGTAATATCCTTTCTGATTAAACCATTCCTGAATTTACAGTCATATTAAGAGTTACTTTTAACTGAATTTGCTCAATCTAGTTTATCACATTAATATTAAAGGTCACATTCTGACATCTGTCTATTACATCAGGAACCCTGGAATAATGACATAAATTACAGAATGCAGTGGACAGTGTTTTTTCTGTTCTTTTTGTTTGTTTAATAAGTACTCTGGTCCTTCTCGGAATAATCAATTCTACTAGGTTCTATTTCTTTCTTTAACCATGTAGTTAAAAAAAAATCTTTCATGTTTTACTACAGTCCCATTAGCTTCAAGTTCTTTGTCCAGGAGAGGGGTCCCATATAAAACACTGAGAACACATTTCTAGGATTTTTGAAACTTAATTGTCCAGAAACCTGAAGTGGCATAAATATTAAAATATACATCTCAAAGTTTTGGCAGCAAGAGTTTAAAGACAATATTCAGTGAGGAAAAAATTGAAACAAACATTTAGAGGATGAAAGAGTAGGGGAGCAGAAAAACACCTAGAAGCATTTCAGCCCACAAATATAAATATTACTGAGTGCAATTACACTGTAAACTTTCCATGTTTTGATTGGACAGTTTTTATGTTCTGTCAGTTTTAAACCAATTCAGGTAACAAAGTTATTACATGCAATACAAAGAATAATTGAATAATGCAATCCATGTTTTAAAAGATATCACTGGAATCTAACAAATACCCACATACAGCACCATTTTTCCTCATCTTTGGGGGTAACAGTGTATTCCTCTGCTAATATGCTGATCATTCCAAGTAAGTTATAACTATTTAAAATATTATAGGCCTATGACACTAAACTTAATGCAAACACATGATATTTAATTCAATACTTTAACATTAAATGATGACAATGAATAGCATTCAGATCAACTAAACTGCAAATCAGGATCAATACATTGAAAGCAATTTCATAAATACAGTCAAGGCACAGACAAAGATATGTTTACTTTTTATCATTATACACCTACCTATTCTTAACATAACACGAGTTTATATTAAGGGAAATATAGGCATTAAAAAGTCAAAATACAGTATTTTCTATTTGTTGATAAATTAAAGTACTCACCCAGCCCTGGTTGGTGAGCCTTAGTCTACTGAACACCAGACTGTGAAGCAAAGGGTCACTGGTTCGATTCCCAGTCAGAGCACATGCCTAGATTTTAGGCCAGGTCTCCAGTAAGGCATATGCAAGAGGCAACCACAAATTGATGTTTCTCTCCCTCTCTCTCTCCCTCCCTTCCTCTCTCTCTCAAACTAAATAAATAAAATATTCAAAAAATGTACTCACCCAGTAACTAGCACTATACACAGAGAACATGATGAATGTTGTGATATCCTTAGAGTAAGACTTTCGCTTATGTAGTTTGGGTTCTTGGAGAAGAAGATGACAAGAGAGGATTAGATGTAGAAGAGATTTATTGGGAGAAATACCTGTGAAGGAAAGTAGGGATGGGATGGAAAACTGGAAGAGATTTCAGATTTCAGAGCAGGTTTGACCACTTCCAGAGGGAGAAAGCAAGATGGTTGAATAGGAAGTCTCAGAATATTGTGTTGTTATAAGGAAGTTTTCAGTCCCACCAGAGGGGGAGACCTTGAGCCACAGCCACCCACTGAAAGAGTCCTACATTTTGCATAAATGGACCCACATCTGTATCTTTGCTGCATTCAACCAAAGGCTGGGGACAGCCTATGGGGCACCTAACCTAGTGCAAATGCATTGCAAGCTTCAGAGAGTAGCAGATAGGACCAACAGTCAATTCACTGCATGAGCGGGAAATCTGAATAATGTTATTTTCGCCTGCCACAGTCCATACCTAGTGCCTCACAGATCTATTTCTGCACGCAAGTTTGGAGAGCAGCTCTTCCTCCATTCCTGTTGGCCTCTCACCCTGAGAGAGAGCTCAGATGAGAGAAGTGAGTGGGAAGCGCTATATACCCTGTCATTCCAGTTGATTTCAAGGTTGAGTGTAGAACTAACTCATCCTCCTTCTCCTCCACTGTAATTTAAAGTCCCCTCAACTTTAATTACCAGCTCTGTAAATCTTGGTGGCTTAACTAATGGTGAAATGACTCAAACTTTCCTTTTCTCCTTCTTAATCTAGAAGTGGTGCACAAGGAAATTCAAAGTTTTAATAGGAGTATGCTCTATAGGACAAAAGGAGTATGCTCAGGTAGTTTACCTGGATTTCACATATATTCCTGCCCCGATGTTTAAAGGAATCTATCTCATCTCCTGCTGATTAGTCAGTTATACTATCATGATGTTAACTGCTTATGTGCTGGTCCATTCGCATAAGGGTTTGAAGTTCCTCAGTGGCAGCTGTGTCAGAAACTTCAATAGGACCTTTGCTAATCTCCAGGTAAGTGAATGCCCCTTTTAGAGACTAAGATTTCCAAATCTACAGAGTCCTAAATTACAGAGACAAAAGTCCCCAAATACCAGTGGGTCATTTGGAGTGAGGGTAAAAAGGACCACTCCTGTTTTACTCATCAATTTCCAAATGCACATACCCTCCCTCTTGGGGTCACAGATCCATATATTAAATAAATGTGTCTAATTTAATGTATATACTGTATCTGGAAGGACTGCACCCTGTACTTTCATAGTATTGCCTCTGAAATGGAACTCCGCAGGTGCCTTTAGAAAGCAATTATGATAGTATTCCATGAAGTTGGCCATTCCTGGATGGCGAGGAACGTGATATAACTAATATATCCCAATATCACAGTCCCATTTTGTCACTGTCTTTGCT